CGGGACTAAAGACCGTTACCATCCGGGACAACAAGGCCATCCTGCATACACACAAAACAGGATGAAATTGTTTTAAGAAAGGGAATTCATTATGTGTTGGAACTTTACAGTCGTGGGCATTAGTGCATCACGGAGAATTTTTATCTTCAAGACACAGTCAGGATCACAACATATACCGATATGATTGCAGTGTCATTTGACCCATTTCTACATGGCCTTTCAATAAATTCTACTCCCGACCAAAACAAAGAAGGTTTTGACGAACTATTTCCTTTTATGCATACGTTGGAAAGGAAAATGAGAAGACTAGTATGGCACTCTTGGCATTGCTCGTGTCTTTGTCTCCGTATGGGAGGACGACGACAGCGTCAGGACAAGATGGACGAGTTGCAGGAGGCTTTAAAGGTGAAACAGGCGGAACCCTATCACGCATCAAAGAACAAGGGATATCGAAGCCTGAAACCTTCTACTAAAAAGGTACGGAGTAACAATATACTAACAAAGGTTCAAGGTTCAGTGGCACATGTAAGATCACCTAGTGCGCTCATCAAAAGCGTGTCGTTAGAAAGGTTCAGTTACACATATAAGACCTAGTGCGCTCATAAAAAACGTATCGTTTGTATGGTTAAAGTCTTCTTCTTTATTATAATGATACGTAAATCTTTTGCGTATTTGAGAAAAAAAATCCTTATAAAAAAAAAGAAGAACAAGGGATGATATTCTTTTCTACGTAACCCAGCACAGCTGCACAGGCAGAGGGTCACATCGGTAGTAATTCAGTGGCGGAGCCGGCCGAAGAAATGAGTTAGGGCGGACCGCTATATAACTTCACCGATATATCGGTCTAACTGTGTATGTATATGGTATATATGTCGGTGTGTCATTTAACAATTATATTCTAATATGTAATTCAGCAAACAAATGGCACAGAAAGAGAAGTTGGAACATGGTTACCTTTCACGTGAAAAAGACATAACCAGAACTTTTGTTCCATAGTCCAAACAATTAACCATGTCCATACATCAAATGATAAAAAAATATAAACAACCTGCAAAAAAGTCCGGCCTCTGGGCGACTGGGCCGGCCGGTGGCGCTCGGCGCGGCTTGGGGCTTGGGCGCAGCGGCAGCCGGCTGGGCCGTCGCCTCCGGTCGATTCCCGGCGCCGGTGTGCGGCGGGGCGGTCGGCAGCGGCAGCCTGCTTGGAGGCGTGGTCGCGCGGACCGGAGCGACGCGGGCGCGCGGTGTAGAGACGCGGAGTCGCGGAGCGGGAGCGCGGTGCGCGGAGGCGGAGGCGGGGCGCGGTCGAGTCAGCCGAGCGAGAGCGATTCGAGAGCGGAGCACCTATTGATTGACCTAAAGCCTGGCTGGGCTGCGCGATGGATGGGCCATTGGGCCTGGTTGCCAATGCCAAGACGGCCCAGCAGCGCACAGACTGCCCATCTTCAACCTTTTGCCGTCGGTGCCTCCTCTCTTCCGCTCGGCAGCGCTGCCGAGGACACCGTCGACGCCCTGGCGGAGGTCGGGGTCCTAGATCTGGTACTCGCCGGAGGGGAGGTAGGGCAGCCGCCCTAGCTCGCCATATAGGTGGCTCCGCCTCTGTAGTAATTATAAAAGGGTAGTAATTATAAAAAGGTTTTTGTTTGCAGCAAAACTATCATAGACGCTACATTGTGAGTTTTTTAATCCGCGATGGAAATTTTTCATCATGGATTAATAGGATTCTTATAGTGTTGAGATTGTGACGGTTTTCTAATTCGCGACGGAAATTTTTCATCATGGATTGACATGATTCTTATAGTGTTGGTAGTGTCCTAGTAGTTCAAATTGAATTTCTCATCTAATAAAAATTTGAAGCTAACTCTCATCTAAAATAACTATTAGATCTAATAGATGTGAACAACTTAGCTAATTAATATATTATACATCTAGTATATGCCCTCCGTTTCAAGGTCATTTTAACTTTCTTAAATATATAATTTAAATATATACTATGTCTAGATATATATATATCTAACATCTAAAAAATATAAAATGATTTATAATTTAAAATGGAGGAAGGGAGCAGTAGTCTAGCTAACAGAAAAATATTAGCCGTCTCTCTGTGACTGCTATATATTAAAACGAATAGTCGTCGAGAGACTGCTATATATAAAAACGAATAATCTAGACGACTAGACCCTTAAAATTGAGGTCAAGCTTTGTAAAACCATTCGTGTTTTAAGAAAGAACCTATCTGGTTTTTATAGGCACGGTAAATGCTTGTTGATTGTAGAAAAATCATTCTTATCCCGTGTGAAGTTTCAACTGCCATACATCTTTTTTGGCTCGACTTTGAAGAAAAATCTCCACCACTTACATTCGAACATGTCGTCCGGTCTGGAGCTATATAGAATATCCTAGAGCTATGTGGCTGAATTCAGGGGAATATAATTGTAACCCACTCCACTATAGACCTCCATGGTGAGGGACCAACAGCTTCTCAGACAGAAAAATGCCAAGACGAAGTGGGGCAACAGGTGGTCCATGCCATCCCTGTACACTGTCTCGCCGGGCACCTGATCTCGTCCGGTCGGTCATGCCTCACGGTCTCGGGTGCCGAGCGCATGCATACACGCGGCGGCAATGCAGCATGGCCGGAGCACCAGCTCGCCCCATGCTACAGTAGTGCTGCTGCCAGCTCGGTCGGCTCCCTGATGGGCCCTGCCTGGCCTCGCGACGCGCCGGCCCTTCCTTGCACGGCTATAAAATGGCGACCCCATCTGATCCTCCATATCACACAAGCAAGTAGTACGTAGCTAACAGCAGCGGTGAATCTAGACTAAACTGCTGTCGGGGTCGCACAGATTCATGAACTCAATCTGATGGGTCGTAGCTGGCCGGAATACGCGGGGTTCCACTAATTCGTACAAAGTTATCGGGGTCGCATGACCCCGACACATGCACTGTGGCTTCGCCGCTGGCTAACAGTAAAACCTAAGAGCACTCCTGCGTACGTCTAGCGACAATCCACACCGAGCTCGTGAGCTTCGTTCGTTAGTCGTTTGAGGACGGCGATGGCGTCCGGTCAGGAAAGCAGGGAGGAGCTGGAGCGCATGGCCGAGGAGGGCCAGACCGTCGTCCCCGGCGGCACCGGCGGCAAGTCCCTCGAGGCGCAGGAGCACCTCGCCGAAGGTTTGTAACCTACTGCCGGGCGGCCGGCCAGCCTTTTTTATCATCTCTCTAGCTTGACTAGTCTACTATGGGACCACTACTGCTTACTGCGTAAATGGCCAAGAACTGACCAATGAAACGACTGTGTTCCTCTGTTGATGTGTGCGTGCAGGGCGCAGCCGCGGCGGGCAGACCCACAAGGAGCAGCTGGGCCACGAGGGCTACCAGGAGATGGGCAGCAAGGGCGGGCAGACGCGCAAGGAGAAGCTGGGCCACGAGGGCTACATCGAGATGGGCATCAAGGGCGGGGAGACCCGCAAGGAGCAGCTGCGCCACGAGGGGTACAGCGAGATGGGCAGCAAGGGCGGGCAGACGCGCAAGGAGCAGCTGGGTCACGAAGGCTACAGCGAGATGGGGAAGAAGGGCGGCCTGAGCACCAAGGAGGAGTCCGGCGGCGAGCGCGCCGCCCGGGAGGGCATCGAGATCGACGAGTCCAAGTTCAGGTCCTCCTAGATCTGATGCGTGCGTGCGTACGTGCCCCGTAGCATATCTAGTAGCTGAAGGAAGGTAGTGTGTACTGTGTAGGCTAGTCGTAGCACGTGCCACTCCAGGTTTGGCACGTGTGCACTGAATAATGTAGGGCGTACGTCAGTCGTCGCAGCACGCATGTAGGCGGTCATATGTGTGCATATGATCATGCGTGCCTTGCTTCAGTTAGGTGCTGATGATGGTCAATTGTCAGTGGTCGTCGTGATTGTGTGTTGACTGTTGAGACAGGTTTCTTCAGGCTTTGTCGTCGGAGTTTAGCGCCAGTTTAGCAACCTGTGTTCTGGCTCTACCCAGTGTGTGGTGGGTCTAGAACCTGATGCCTCAAGGTGGTCGAGTTTGTTTGTATCCATGGTTTGGTTCGGTAACATAGTTGTTGGATAATAACACATAAGGATCTTCTCTGCTCTTTCGACTGCTGCAATTTGTTTGGAGTGATTCTCTTCATACGAGGAAGGATATAGCTAGTTTGGCACAAAGAGAAACCAGAACGGAAGCAAAACATAGCACCTCGCCTGTCCCAGACTTGTAGGTATAGATAGCCTGCGCAATAGCATCGTCAGTAGAGCTTTGACATTCATCTTATTTCTCCCGATGAGAGTGCGCAAGCACATTGGAAGTAACAATTCTAATAAGGACTTTGATCTGCTCGCTCTCCCATCTCCCATAGTGTTTGCTTTGAGAGAAGTCTTGAAACCAGACTGGGCAAACTAGTCAATTACATCGAAGAAACTCTATACACTACCGGGTGAATACATGGAGCCAGCTTTCCTGCTTTCACACATTTGATATGGTATGACACCGCCGATTGATGCTCTTTACGAAACCTGAATGCTGTGAACTCGTTCCATTCTGGATGGGCAATCAGCAACAATCTTTCAGGATTGATCATATAGCAACACGGCCGTTACGCAAAACTGCTTGTTCAAAGCATTGCCAGTTCAGCAGCCAACAATGGCACAATAACAATCTTACCATGCACCTACTGGCCCTACTACAACATCCAGCGATATTGCTAACGTTAACTTTTCCTCCCACCACATAACCCTTACAAAATCGATCTGTGTTCTAGAAGTAAAAGGACGTTCTCTTCCTACCCTGCACACAAGCAGCTACTAGCTTATTAACTGGTCACCACACTTGGAACAATTTGCCTCTTCGGTAGCAGAACGGTTGCGGGTTCGGTTTAAGTTGGATGCTTTCATCAATGGCTGGTTGCCAGGGCTGTCACCAGTAGGCCGAATACGAAGAACGGCTGTGCGCTTGCCTATCAGCAAAGTAAGATTGTCCGGATCAGATTATGGTTACCTCAAGCTGTTCCCTACTTGTAGGTTCCGACTAGCTAAGAGCTTCAGAACGGGAAAGACTGGATCGGAAGTAGTAAAAGAGTGGGAGAAGCAGCTGAAGCACACCTGATATTTGACATCATACTTCACAGGGTCCTTCAGGAAGTACTGGAACTGCTCCAGGAAAATAAGAAGTATTAGAATGCACAAAAACGGAAGTGGAACTGATAATGAAACAGAGTAACAGACAACCCTGTTACCTCCTCCGCTAGGTTGTTCATGTTTCAGACATGCAGTGTTAGACAAAAGAAATGTGCTTATCTGCAATGTTTTATTTAACACAAACCAAACCTATGTTCAAACTACTATTTGGAGGATTATAGTCTATATAGAGTGCACAAAAAAAAATGTGGATGTGTTAATGAATTAGGCAGCCCCTCTTGTCTCCTCACTCTGTGGTATTGTTCGTGTTCCCTTTATGCATTGTGGATAAAAATGTCCTTGGTAGCAATGTTTCATTCAGAGCAGAGATATATTCAATACTGTTTTCTGGAGGTAACCAAAAGATACGCAGTTTTGCAGCCTTACAGATAAAGCTATTCCTCATAGGTCAAAAAGTTTGAACCTAGTACCACGCAGGGAGAAAGGGACTTTGCTTCAGACATTAAAACATCTGGAACAAAAAAAATCCACACACACAAAAAAAAGGTGCAACAAGAACAGTCAGGTATACCTGAAAGAACACCTGAGGAATTGTTAGCCCAAGCAACGCCAGGGCATAATACAGCTTACCAGTGCTCAATAGGTAACCTGAAAAGATGAAGAATGGAACGTTGATGTTACAATTTCCTATCAAAATTCAACATAATAGCATCAAGCTATGGATGTGTTCCCTATTTTCTACTGGTAGAATATGAAAACATGCAAGACTTGAAGAAAATATAGCTACAAAATATCATGCATAGTGTGCTGACATTTCAAATCTTTGGAATCTAAGCTGAAAAAGTTTCAATAAGCACATCTTGTTCAAAGCTGTATTATCATGATATAGGGGAACTTCAAATCTGATGCATTATCATGATAGCAGGAGTAAGAAGCCGTGAACAGCATGACAACCAAAATATGGTATGCAGATCGAACTAGTACAGTAAGAATTAAAGTGAAGGCGGATTGTATGACAAAGGAAAAAAGCAACAGATGCCTTGCCTGCAACAGATAGTTGAGTGATATCAATTGCTCCAACACATATCCATTTTGCAGTTTCCATCCCAAAAGCAACAGGAAGTGACTACAAAATTTTAAACAGTTTTTTTTTTAAAAAAAAAGTGAAACTGTTATTGAGAAGCACATTAATGATAAATATTTGCACAAAAAAGGAGTATAACCTGAAGCCCCAGAGTTCTATCCCCTTCAATGCTCTTAAAATCATTTACAATAGCGATCCCTAGCTGCATAATCATAATCAAGAAAAAAGGTCAATCATCATGACATGTATGAATGATCAAAAGAAAGCCAAACAGGATGTGGAGACGAAATACCCCAGCTATGCTGTACAAAGTAGTCAAGACAATGATATCCGGTGTAAGAGTTCCAAATAACGCCTGGCCAGCCCACCTGCAAAAAATATTTTATACCTTTAAGCTCTTGTGAATATAATGATGGTAGCATCAAAACCAACATTGTTTGCGCAACATGAAGAGAAATCAGCAATGTTGATCATACCAGGGCAAGCTGATGTAACTTGCACCCAGAGCGAAGTTCCCAATCCATCCATTCTGCTTGAGCTGAAATGATGAAGTTTTGTGAGCATCTTTCAATCAAAACGCATGTTGCGTCCCAAGGAAGTATTTTTCAGAGAAGAGAATCAGTAATAAAGAAGACACACTCAAGTACCTTGAGAGGTGGTGCTGAATATATGTAAGAAAGTAAGGAGCCACCCACAGCAAGATAAAACACAATAGGAAAATCGTGCCCAGCCTGAAATGGCAAAGCATTATAAGATGGATGAAAATTTTAATTTCACCAACTTGTTGGTGCACAAAAACAATTACTTAAGGACTTACCCACACATCTAGCAAAGCGCCCAATCCAAGCCCTCCTAGCAATAGCACCCAGATCTGGGTTATTACCTGAAGAGAATAATTTTCATCAGTATTACAGGGAGTCAGGGATGACATGATAACTTAGCCAGTTGGAGTTGGCAAAACCCTTGTAAATGATACCAGAATATCATTATCATCAAGAGTCAATTTCATTTCAAATGTTACGCAGCAGCCAATGGCATTACATGTGCCACAATGGAAAAACAAATCCATTCAGGAATTAAGGCCAACTTGAAAGAGGGGATTCACAAATAGCTACAGGGCTACAACACCAAGCAAGATATCACATCTAACAACCAACCATATATATGACAACAGATATAACAACAAAGTACTAGCACTATAAATCAACCAAAGATTAAATGCAAGACCAAACAGGACGGATAGATTGAAATGATAAGCTACCTAGATTTCAAGTTTTGGAAAAACATGATGTCATTCAAAAGATGGCAACATCTCCAAGTTTATAGTTTGTTTATCCACCCCCATAGACACATGTGTCCAGGTGGATACTTTTGGTGCAAACCAGTAGTGCCATTGTAATACAAGCATGCCGGTCCTCAAACTCAATCTCTTGTTTGTTGTCTAAATATAGTATAAAACCCCAATGCTTCAACTTGCAAAATAACATTCTGGAAAGGAAAGAAAAGAATGGCTCATTGATGGAAAAGAAATAACTGGTGTATGAATGGGTTTTATTTTGTGGATCGCTGGCATCCCTAAAATGGCAAGTTTGGACTCATGTACCTACAAACTAGTCAATAGTTGATGAAACTAAGCATGCATATAATTACATATGCCGACAAGGGATCCCATTTTCTCAAATATAGACATACCTCATTTTCTGATATAGCACCCGATGGAATAGGGCGATAAGGCTCATTAATTGCATCAATGTCTCGATCATACCAGTCATTAAGTGTCTACAAGCAAGAATGTTTGGCTGACATACTTATTAGTAGAAATAGTCTCCCACACAGCATGTCTGAGGATATAAATGAAGGCCGACAAAGAGAATTTAAAAAGTAAACCTGTGTGTATCCTGTGAGGCATGGACCAGACATTATCATGCATACAATAGATTTTGCGACATCTTCAACTGTCCAGTGGAAATTTCCTGAATGTGACAGATTAGGGGAAAAACAACATAATCATACATACTAGTCATACGCCAAAAGGAACAGTGTTCATAAGCACAACAATTGGTCACTGTACTCTGGTTCCTTTATCCTAAAAGCCTAGCCATCTGCATCAAAAGGAGTTTGATGTTGTTTTGTAAGTGCTGGGCTCGCTAGTTTGCACTCAACAGAAAGAAGGATGGACCTATAGATCTTCTAGGCTACATTGCTTTTCCGATGCAATAAATGTCGGTCGCTAAATACTTCGTTATAAGGATGAAGATTCAATAACACTATAGTTGATTAGCAAAGTAGGAAGCCCTTAGGAAGGTGGACAACCAACAACATAGTAGCAATGCACTACTAGATTTAATTACACAGGACAAATGCAGTTCCCAAAATTCACAGGTTGGGTTGTTTTTATGAAGTAGAGACACAAAAGCATTCAAGGAACAGATATAAACTGTTATAGGCAGCAAAGCATACCAGAGGCAGCTGCTCCACAGAGAACTCCCCATACAAGCGGAGGCCATGTCACTGGCTTAGTAAGTTGAAGACGGATCTTCCATATGTCCTGTGTCAATATATGAAAGAGGGCATTGGTGAATATTAGTACAAGCTTCCAGTTTCAGGGCACAAATGGCTAGATTGCAAAAGGTTAAAGAGGTATTCATGTTATTAACTGCTGGAGATGGTAAACAATTAAAATTACATGTCTGGGAAAAGAATGCTCGAAAAGGTTTTCTGAAAAAAGGGTCAGGTTCACTTTTTTGGCCTCCAACTTGCACGACAGTTCGATTTTCAACCTAAACTACGAAGTCGGGTACCGGACGCCCTCTAAATGTTGAAATCGGACCAATTTAGTCATCTTGCTGGTTTCAAAGGTGGTTTTCTATTTTTTTTCTAAAAATAATAAAAATTGGTTTAATCTCTAAAAAATCATTCTGAATTTATTTTAAATCAGAAAAATATGAAACTAGTACCAATTGTTTTCTAAAAATGTAACCTATCTGTTGGTGATTTATTTGCAGTTATTTGGATCTAATTTGTTTATGTTCTAGTGTTTCATTAACAGGTGTGACTATAAGCAATTAAACACTAGGAACATAAACAAATACGATCCATATAACTCCAAATAGAGCACCAACATATAGATAACACTTTTAGAAAAAAATCAGTACTAGTTTCATATTTTCCTGATTTAAGATAAATTAGTTGAAGGGCAGGCCTGGTGCAGTGGTGAGAGCTGTCTCACTGAGTCACCAGGTCGTGGGTTCGAAGCAGCCTCTCCGCAGATTTTGCGGGGGAAAGGCTTGCCTCGGTTTTTCCCTTCCCCAGACCCCACTCATGTGGGAGCCTCTGGCACTGGGTCTGCCCTTTAAGATAAATTAGTTATGAATTTTTAGAGATGAAACCAGATTTTTATTATTTTTTCGAAAAATAGAAAACCATCTTTGAAATGAGCAAGAGACCAAATTTGTCCGGTTGCTACATCTGGAAGGTGTCCTATACCCAGTTTCATTGTTCAGGGCTGAAAATCAAACTGTTGAGCAAGTTGGAGGATGAAAAAAGAAAAAATAGACTTTACCCTAAAAAAGTGGTGACATGTCACTTGAAAATTATGTTGCGAGCTACGAATATTACTCAACTTTTCCATTGAAGGAAAATCCTGCCTATGTGCAGGATGAATCATTTACTGAATGTAGGGCAAAGCATATCAAGCAATTCTGCCAAAATAATGTAACATATGCAACCTGGTCAAATGCTTAGCTGTTAGAGAGAAGTAACATGGTAGCAGCATGCACAGAAGGCAAAGCTTAATTTCCGAGAACCAAATTAGTTCTTTGTTTGTGGATCTAAGCCGCTGCTATATTAGTTGTTTGTACATACCCACATTCACCGGTTAGCAAAGACAATGGCGAACCAACAAGGCGACAAGGCGACGACGTTGCAATGTGTAACTGTGTAAGAGAGACCAGAGACCACATTCAAATTAATTTGATTTCGCGGCAATAGCAATTTAGAGTCTGCCACATAGCATTTCTGGGCTTTCTCATTGTGAAGACCATCGCATGGAAATTTGGAAACCATGTAGTTCTAAGATTTGTACTCCTATTTAATACCCAATTATCCACAAAACCGGGCCAAAGCTACCCAGTGCAATATATACCCAATGCACGGGAAGAGGTTGAGGGAAGACTCACGCTCTCCTGCTTGGCACCCTTGATGCCGAGCAGCTGGTTGAAGCTGGAGCCATCCGCCGCGGGCGCCTTCTCAGGGGCCTTGGCGTTCGCCTTCGCTGCGCAACCAATCAATCACGCCCTAAAAGAGTTAGAGAGCAACGGAAAACGGCAGAATAGCACACGGAGGGGGCGTGAAAAGCACGCACCGTCTTTGGCGTCGGTCTCAGCCGCGCGTACCACCGGGAACGGCCGCCTCCCTGCGAATGGAACCGACATGCATCAGGGGGTCAGTCAAACTTCTCTCGACAGTGTGTTGTTGCGTAGGCTGGAGAGAGACTACGGCAGTACCAGTTCGGTTGAAGCAGAGATATGGTGGATGCGCTGGAGAGCGGAGGCGGAGAGGAGGGCGGAAGGCAGTGGAGGAGGACGAGGCGGCGGCGGAGGCAGCGAGGAGGTGGACAGCGGCCATGGTGAAGAGCCGAAGCGGGGGAGTGAGGCCGGGAGGGCCTGAGAGGGGAACCGATAAGGTGGCGCTCGTGTGTCGCCACTCGCGACGAAGAAAGAAAAATAAAACAAAAATAAGGAATGTTCGCAACAAGCAGAGTTGAAACGAAGCCCAGCAACGGCCTGTTACCATTCAGGCCCCATTTGCAACGCGGGATTTTTTTTCCCATTTCTCCGTTTTTCTGTGAAAAATAAATTGAATCATATGAAATTTCTACAGAATTCCTGTGAAACTCCTAGGTTCCAAAGGCGCCCTTAGGCGTGTTCCTGTCTCCCACTGGGGCACCACTCTCCTCCATTTTCATCTATCTCTCTGATCATTTTTCCTAATAAAAATAAGATTTTTATCTTTTTTAAAGAAAACATTTGTCGGGACCAAGTATCCGAAGAGGAGGAGCCAATGACCATCAACATTGATTCATCCGAACAGTCAAGAGCGCGACTACAGCTCCATCCGACCCAAGGCCGCAGACTCCGCCTCGTTCGACCCTTGGGTTTGTGCTCCGCCTCGCCCAACCTCTAGGGCGGGCTCCATCTCGCCCGACCCCGAGGCCACGGGCTCTGCCTCGCCCGACCCTTGTGTTTGTGCTCCACCTCGTCCGACCTTTGGGGGTGGGCTCCGCCTCGCCCGACCTCGAGGCCACGGGCTCCGTCTCGTCCGACCCTTGGGTTTGTGCTCCGCCTCGCCCGACCCCGAGGCCACGGGCTCCGCCTCGCGCGACCCTTGGGTTTGTGCTCCGCCTCGCCCGACCTCTGGGGGCAGGCTCCACCTCGCCTGACAGGGACCCATATCACCGCCAATCACTCTAGGTCCAAACGTATGGGCCTGGGTCAAAACTCTGACACCAAGAAAGAGACCGACACGTCCCGATGTAACCCGTGGCCATGACGGGCCATACCTAAGGATTTACATCAAGAACAGCATCGGGCGTACCGGTGTTGTTCTGCCTAACCCTCGTACGAACGCTAATAGGCGTGTCAGCTCACCACGACGTCCGCTACAACAGAATGGAACGCCATGATCGGCAGACGACGCCTGTGCATGGCGCCAGTAACGGACAGGGCCGCTATGTGGAGCTATCCCTGTTGACATCTACAAGGTCGGCAGGACCAGCATGAAGGATAAGAAGGACCCAGCGATCCTGAAGGACTTCTTCTCTCTCATTCTTCTCTTTTCCTCCGCTGTAACCCATGCTTTCCCTTGGCCTATAAAAGGAAAGCAGGGCGTCCCATGAAGGGGGGCCGGTCCGATTAAAACCGATCAATCGAGATCGACACAAGAAGCACGACACAAGCACTCGACTGAGCAACAATCGAGCTCTCAGCACCCGTTCACTCCTTTCACCAGAGACTTGGGATCATTTCCCTCTCTCGCCCGTTTGTACCCCCTACTATAAACTTTCAGTGCTAGTAACACGAGCAGCAGTGATGAATTGGACGTAGAAAATTTCTGCCCGAACCAGTATAAACCTCGTGTCCTCTAAGCACACCATCCGAATCAGACGCGCAATAATACAAATTTATTCATCGGTGGTAACTCAAAACACCAACAGTTGGCATGCCAGGTAGGGGCCTTTTACGTGTCTCGATGTCCACTTCAGGTCTTGGATGACCAGTCACGACGTCAGCTGGGTCCCGAGCGCGCACGTGCACTTCGGGAACTTGGACTTCATCGTTACGACGGAGGGAGGTTGGCGCAGGCTCCCGCCGCCATCCAACCTTTCCACCCCGCCGGCATCGACACGATCACCGAGGCGCTTGAGGAGCTACAACTGCGCATACCGGAGCCTCGCGTCCCTTGGAGCGACCAGCTCCTTGACTTCGACTATGGAAGATTAGAGTGCCAGCTCGGCGCCTTCCTGGGACCCCGACCGTCCCGTGAGGACTTGCGCCACCTCACCTTCTCGTTCACCAACATCACGATGCAGCTTGTCGAAGGAGAGCCGCTCTCCCCATAATACCTCATCTAGAGTGCCCCGATAGCGCTCTTGTCCGATCTCCGCAACACCACACACACCATTGCCCACCTTGTGGCGCAATGCATGCCTCCATCCCCTATGAACGACGAGTTTATAGGGATGACCGAATATGTCATGGAATCTTTTCATGACCTCCTCGTGGGAGAATCGGGGTCGCCCTACAACTCTGACTCTAGTGGGGGGAGCAATCACCCTTCTCATGAATGTTTCATGGGAGGTACCCCCGAGGGACACATCAAAAGCATCCACGAGGAGAGGCTACCACAACGAATGACCTCGACAATGATGTCGAGAGGGATGCAAGGGCCCCACCTCGCCTGCGTGTGGAGCAGCTAAAGGCTCGGCACCAAGAGCTCTAGGAAGCATGACTCCAGCTCGAGCAGGAACACGTAGAGCTCGAGCAAGAGATCGAGCGCCACGGAGATGGCGGGCATGTGCACGCCATGGCTCACGATGTGAACCGGAGGATCATCAAGGACAATGAAGCCCTCCTACACTTCACTCGGGCAAGCCAGAACATCATTGCTGCGGCGACCTTGCTCCGAGGGCTTCTAGGGCCCGCTGAAAGCTCTAGTTTGGTTTTAGTGATTTGATGAAACCCTAAGTGCTAACCTAGTTTATCAAAGTGATTATGAGATAGGTAGCACTACTCCAAGTGATTAAGCATGTGAAGATCATGACATGATGATAGTGATGGCATGGTGATGATAAAATGCTTGGACTTGGAAAAGGAGAAAGAAAAACAAAAGGCTCAAGGCAAAGGTGAAATTGATAGGAGCTTTTTAGTTTAGTGATCGAGACACTTAGAGAAGTGTGATCACATTTAGGATCGATAGCCGTACTATTAAGAGGGGTGAAACTCGTATCAAAATGCAGTTATCAAAGTGCCACTAGATGCTCTAACTCATTGCATATGCATTTAGAATCTAGTGGAGTGCTAACACCCTTGAAAATGTTTGTGAAAATATGCTCACACACATGCACAAAGGTGATACACATTGTGTTTAGCACTTGGGAGCAAGGGTTCGAAACTTCATCGGTGGAGTGTCCTAAACGCTGGTCACGCAGTGACTGGACGCTAGGGTCTACGTCTCGTCAATGGTGCGTAGTGAAGGCCGCCCTCGGTCTCTTGACCGAACACAGGCTGAACACTGTTTAGTGTCCGGTCATGTTGATGTGGCGGCGCATAGAGGAGATAGTGAGTGACTGGACGTTGGGTGAGTCCGGTCGGTGGTGACCGGATGCGTTCGATCGCGAGTGGAACCTTACTGGAAACTACCGGACGCTGGGGTCCTATGTCCGGTCACTTTTAGGCAGCGTGTCCGGTCACAACTTAAATGTACTGATAACCGTTGAGATCGGGTGATCAGTGTTTGAAGCAGGGGACACGTGACATGTATCGCGCAACCAGACACTAGGGTCCTACATCCGATCGATCTGACCAGCACGTCCGGTCGCCCCGATTTTTAGTGAACTGAGGAGCCAACAGCTCTATTTCGTGGGGGCTTCTATTTATGCCCCATAGCCGGCTCAAGCTCACTCTCTTGGCTATTTGCATTGACATAGCAACCTTGTGAGCTTAGCTAAAGCCCTCCCACTTATCTCCATCATTGATTCATCATCCTTGTGAGATTGGGAGAGAATCTAAGTGCATTGCTTGAGTGATTGCATCTAGAGGCACTTGGTGTTCGTGTTTTGCAGCGGGATTCACTTGTTGCTCTTGGTGGTTGCCACCACCTAGATGACTTGGTGCAGCGAAGGAGGATTGGCATGAGTTGGTGATTGTTTGTGGCCATCTCTGGTGATTGTGAGGGGACTTGTGCCTTCCTCGACGGAGCGCCGAAAGGTAACCCTAGTGGATTGCTCGTGTCATTGAGTTATCTCACTTGTGGGTAGGTTCTTGCGGTGTCCAATTATGTGGACGAGGTTCGTGCAACACCTCTTAGCCGCCGAACCACCAAGTGTTGGTCGACACAATGGGGACGTAGCATGTTGGCAAGCATGTGAACCTCGGGAGAAAATTGGTTGTCTCTTGCCCTTTGGTATTCTTCCAGTGATTGATTTAGTATTCATCATGTGATTGGTTCACTCCTCTACACGGTGGTATAATCACCCTACTCACTCATTTATATTCTCGCAAACTAGTTGTAGCAAGCTCTTTAGTGTAGCTAGAATTGAGAGCTTGCTTTGTAGTTTAAGTTCATCTAGTGGAGCTCTTTAGTATAGCAAGTGTGAGAGCTCTTAGTGAGTAGTGACATAGCAAATTGTGTGTCTAGTGATCATAGCAACTAGAATTGTTAAATAGGTGGCTTGCAACCTTTGTAGTGCTAGAGCAAGTTTGCATTTTGCTATTTATTATACTAATCAAATTGCTCTAGTCGGCTTGTAGATTTTTAAATAGGCTATTCACCCCCCTCTAGCCATATTTGGACCTTACACCCACGACGCTCGAGGATTCTCGGGCCCATCGCGAGATTCACACGCTGCTCAAGCGTGCGGCGACGCAACAGGCTGAGAGCTCGCTGTCCCGACGATGCGAGCTTGATGCTAGCCAGTGCGCGCCCTTAGAGCGGCCCAATATGGACGTGTCAGTCCACCAAGCGCAGCGAGGCGGCAGGCCACGCACCACGGTCCTGGTGCACGAGCGTCTCGGCCGCAACCGTGACGCGCGTGACACCTTCGATGCCCGTAGTCGTGCCCACAGTGATGCGAGGGAGGGGACCAGCTGCAGCTACCACCCTCGTTGTGGTGGATGCTATGACTGCGGCGAGGATAGAAGCCCGAGCCCTGACTAGCCAGGACCTCAGGCCTTTGGCCGACACATCCTCAATGCCGCCTTTCCACCGTGGTATCGACCGCCGACCAACATCCCGAAATACTCTTAGAAAATGAACCCCGGACTATGGCTCGAGGATTATCGGCTTGCTTGCCAAGCCAGTGGAGCGGATAATGATGATTTTATTATCCACAAACTTCCATTGTTCCT